CCTCTACCTGACCTTCTACGTCTTGGGATCATTGAACATCATTTGAGAGCGCGCATTTTGCTGTTCTTAGCAGGAGACATCTGATCGGGCCTAGCGTGCCTGAAAATGAGTGAATCTTGCATTTAGGTCCAAAAGGTTTGGATATACAGTATAACTTTTTACCGTTGTTGAACATGGTTTGTTTTTGTTCCGCAGTGCACTCATTACTGGGATAAAAGTTCAAGAGCTAGTCACTAGAAGTTGGAGTTGGGTTGACTTTGTGTGGAGTTTGTGGCTGCAACTGTCTGGCAAATCAAGGGCAAGCCGGACCATCCCAAAGCAAAGACCCCTTACCTGGTTGTTGTCACACCGTTGTTGCAATGGCCTACTCCTCCAGTGGTCGCTTGGCATTTGTCGCAGTCACTGCGCTTTGGGTGTGGGCTGCAAGCACCGCCTTCGTGTCTTCGAACAGCGGCGTGAAGGGCTTGCGTGGAGCAGAGAGGCACTCCCACGCCGAGTACGCCCCTTTCCCTACTACACAAGAGATGGGAGAACCAGGTGCACCCAGCCTGCCTTCTGGCTTGCAGGCAGTGCTGTTGGCGGCAGTCGTTGGCTTGATGGTGGGTCTTGCTCCTGTCCGCGCTGAGGAAGATGTGACCAAAGAGCTGGGTGGTGCTGAGCAAAGGGCTTTCAAGTCCAAGACTCGAAAATCATTGAAGAAGGAGAAGGCCAAGGCCACTGGGGCCACCATTGTTGAGGATGACACTGGCAAGAAGAAGCGTGTCATCATTTCCCCTGCCGATGAATTGGATGAGGATGAACTGTCCCCTACACGGCCAAACCAGCCTTTGCTCTTCTTGATCTACGCCACTCCAGTGACCCTCTACCTGACCTTCTACGTCTTGGGATCATTAAACATCATTTGAGCGGTTTAAATGCTGCAGTTTTTCCCAGCACACGGACAAACTGGCTCTTGAGGGCAAAAGCGGGGCCGACACTATGTTCCTATTTTGCAGCCATGGTAAGAAGGGTCTGTTCCGGGACGAAACCCACTGAATCACCCAAGGAACGCGAAGTTTCAACTCTTTAATCATAATCTCAAGTGGGTCTGTGTTTGTTGTAGGTAGAATGGTTGTTGCTGGGGCAAACTTTGTGATGTTGCACATTGCAGCAACTTGAGCTTGCCTGCGACTGATGTGCTTGTGAACAACTGATTGGATCATAGTCAGGTTTAGAGGTCAAGCCGCCAGCAGCAAGCATTTCCAACGCCTTTGCAATGGCCTACTCCTCCAGTGGTCGCTTGGCATTTGCCGCAGTCAC